GATAATAATATTAAAATTAATATTAATTTATATATTTATATATAATAATAATAATAATAAATTACTCTTAATTATACTTCCTCAAAAGGTATAGGATAAAGAACCTGACCCTGTGGGTCAAGTGGCCTTATCCATTCTTATAAGATTCATATCTCCTTCTCAAAGGCAACGGTTTGAATCGACCCCATGATTAAATGTTCAAAAAAAAAAAAAAAGGTATAGGATAAAAATATTATTTTGTTATTTGGTTTGGTGGGTTTTCCTTGCTTTCTGTTGGAATAGGCCCAACATCCAAACATGGCTGTGCATAACGGGCCTAGGCTACCGCCCACTAGCCCAATTTGAGGATGCACAAGTGCAAGCATACCTACGTGACCAGCACCACGTGGACCAATGAGATGCTTACATGTACGGATGCATGTTAGCACCAGGGGGTTATAAATACCCCCCAGCTACTTCCGATGAAGGTAATTAATCTTTACGCCTCTCTCTCTGCAATTACTCATGGAGAGCATCCCTATCTAGAATATCGAGTATTGTTGACTTGAGTGTCGGAGTGTTTTTCCTGAGGAAACATCCTTGGGATTTTCAGGTGTAGAAGCAGCTAAGGACTTTAACAGTGTTGGACCACGAAGCTGCCCAAACATTTGGCGCCGTCTGTGGGAACTCGAACAGGAAGTTGTGTAGCTTAACTCGCTGAAAGACAAAATGGCTCGTACCTCTACTGGAAGTCGTCCTCCCAGAAATGAAATGGACGAATAGGAGGACACACAACTGTCTGAGCCTGGCTTGAATGATTTTAGACCAATGCCGAGAAACCATTTCGTAAGGGGAGCAAAACAAGATCAATTAAGTGGAACAGATGATGATGAAAGAACACCAACTGCGTATGCAACTTAGCCCGAACATTTCCAAATTCCAACAGGAACAAGGCAAAGACATCCTAGACCAGGCAACTTACAACATGAACGACCTAAAAGGTCAACTGAGCCCGCTCGAACAACCGAGCTCGAAGAGAGAACCAAATTTGTCGAAATGGCAATGGGTAAAATCCTTGCCCGCCTGATCCCTGATGACCCCCTGATTCCCTTGTTGAATAGGGATGCACAGCCAACTGCAGTTGTTGCAACTCGAAACTCTTCCGCTCTGAGCAATATAGTAGTGCCGACCAAGCCAAGGGGAAATGGGAAGCTAAATAACGAGCCCAGCTCGTCCAAACATAGTGAAGAATTGATGAGAAAGAATGTAGACCTTGAAAGACAGCTGTGGGATGTGCAAAAATCCATTGACGAGCTGAAAAGCCCCAGGTCACACCAACAGACCCTTGACTTGGATAGTGCTCCATTGAACCTATCCATCACAGCAGAACCGTATCAAGAGGGATTCAAAATTCCCCACCTGGAGACGTATGATGGCTCAGGTGACCCAGATGAACATCTGCACACCTATCAAGCTATCATGAGAATCCAAAACGCCAATGATGCCATGATGTGCAAAGTGTTTCCAGCGACACTAAAGTCAAAAGCCAGGAGATGGTATCACAAACTCCTGAGACATTCTATAGACTCATATTACCAGCTCACCAAGCTATTCTCCAACAAATTTGCGAGTCAGAGGGAGATCAAACGCACAGTGACCGAGCTGATGCAAGTTCATCAGAGGGAAGGGGAATCTCTGAAGGACTACATGCAGCGATTCAATAAAGCCACTTTAGACATTGATAACGTCCCTGATACCATCTGCTTGTCTGTTTTGCTGCATGGTTTAAAGCGTGGCCAGTTCCTAGACGACCTGCTAGAAAACCCACCGAAGACGTGGAACGAAGTGAATGACAAGTTGGCTAGCTTCATACTATCAGAGGACTTCTAGTCGTCCAAGCGATGAGCTGACGATAAGCAGAGCAAAAGCCAGGAACAACCATCGAGGAGAGAAGAAAAGAAAAAGTAGAAAGTCAACGAGCAGTGGAGGAAACCCGTCGACTTCCCAAAGTATGCCAATTACATTCCTTTGGCCTTGCCAAGGTCTCAAATCTTGGCACAAATCCAGCACTGGATTAGAAGACCCTCACCCCCACTGCATGATTCCCCAAGGGTAGACAAGAGCAAGCATTGTGACTACCATCGTACTTATGGTCACAACACAGAAGACTGCCAACACTTGAAGGACGAGCTGGAGTTCTTAGCTCGCAATGGGAAGTTGGAAGGATATGTGCAGAAGCCTTATACCCAGAAACCATCTCAAACGCACTTTGTGCAAGGATATGACCGACCCAATGGGCAAAGGTATCAGCTCGGCGGAACACAAGATGTGTATCCGGATAGTCAATATCCTTTTGAGCAGGGCAGAGTGTATAGGGAACGTCAATTCAATAGGCGAGGCCAAGGATAGAGAACCACCACCTAGAACCAAAAAGACAGGAATGGGGTAGGCTATGCTGGGATACCCTCGACCTCGGGCACAATAAACATGATCTCGGGTGGTATACACTCTGGAGGCCAAAGCGCTCGAGGTCGTAAAGCATATGCCCGACAGGTGATGACCGTCAACAAGAACAGACCTTTGAAGCGGCCATTCGAGGAGGCAGAGTGGGAGAATGCGCCTATTACATTCAGCCCGGTAGATTACAAGCGAGCAGAAGGAGAGCTCGACGTTATGATGCCCCATGGAGATCCTTTCGTGGCAACAGTTCATATAGGCAATCATAACGTCAACAAAGTGTTTATCGATACTGGTAGCTCGCCAGATATCTTATACTGGAGTTGTTTTCAAAAGATGCAGCTGAATTCGAGCTCGCTGCAGAAGTATGAAGGGCCCATATATGGTTTTGACAACCAGCCCATCCCAGTGGAGGGAGTAATTACACTTCCCATTTATGTGGGTTCAGAACCATGCTTCAGGATAGCTTTAGTCAGCTTCCTGGTCGTCAAAATGGAGTCGGCCTTCAATGCCATACTAGGAAGAGCCACCCTCTGTGAGCTGAAAGCTGTTATTTCTCAACCCCATCTCTGTATGAAATTCCCAACTCCTTGTGGGGTAGGAGTGCTTAAAGCGAACCAGAATATGGCTAGAGCCTGTTACTAAGACACTTTCAAGAAGGTTGAGCTCGTTGTGGCCCCGGCAGGTTTTGAAAATCACAGGCCAACCCAACTCGGTCAGCAAACAATGAGCATATCAGATGTCGAACACCGACCTGAAGGTGTCGAGCAGAAGGCTGAGCCAGTAGAACCGATGGAAAGGTCTTTTTAAACCCTGATGTGTTAGAAAGGACGGTTAAGATCGGCACCAAGCTCACAGAAGAAGAGCGAGCAGAGCTTCTGGAGTTTTTGAGGAATAATCAGGATGTGTTTGCGTGGACTACGGATGAAATGCCTGGCATCCCAACAGAGTTGACAGTCCACAAGCTCAACACGTACCCCATTAGAAAAATGGTGGCTTAGAAACGTCGCCTTTTTGGCCCTGAGAAGCAAGCTACCATAGACGAAGAGATACAAAAGCTACTACAGGCAGGCTTCATCAGAAGAGTGGAGTACTTTGAATGGGTGTCCAACTTGGTGCTCGTCAAAAAACCAAATGGCAAGTGGAGAATGTGTATTGACTTCACCAACTTAAATGAGGCGTGTCCAAAAGACCCCCATCCCTTGCCAAATGTAGAGAAGCTGGTTGAGCGGGCAGCTGGGCACGAGCGGATGAGCTTTCTCGACTCTAGCTCAGGTTATCACTAGATCTAGTTGCTGTTGGACGACCAGGAGAAAACAGATTTCTATGCTAGTGACGCAATCTACTGCTATGTGATGATGGCGTTTGGCCTGAAAAATGCTGGCGTTACATATCAGAAACTGGTGCAAATCATCTTTAAGCTCCAGATCGGCAGAAACATAGAAGTATATGTGGCTGACATGATAGTCACCAGCGTGCGAGCTGAGGATCATATAGACGACTTAAGTGAGACCTTTCAAAAGTTGCGCCGAGCCTAAATGAAGCTGAATCCCTTGAAATGCACATTTGTTGTAAAGTTCAAAAAATTCCTGGGGTACGTGGTATCTAAGAAAGGAATTGAAGTAAATCCAGAGAAGGTAGGTTCAGGCCATTCAGCAGATGGAGCCGCCCAAGACTATAAAAGATGTGCAGCATTTAACGGGCCATGTCGCTGTGCTGCATAAGTTCATAGCCAGATCGGCAGAAAGATGCCTCTCGTTCTTCAAAGCCTTGCGAGAGCCCAAGAACTTTCAATGGACCAATGAGTGTCAGCGGGCGTTTGACGAGCTCAAACAATATCTGGTATCAGCACCACTACTGTCCAAGCCTGTGGAAGGGGAGAGTTTATATGTGTACCTGGGGGTTACAGAAGAGGCGGTGAGCTCAGTCCTACTTAGGGAAGAGAATAAGAATCAGAAGCCCATCTGCTATGTGAGCAAGATTTTACAAGGTGCCAAACAAAACTACCCACTAGTAGAAAAGGCTGCTTTTGCCTTGGTATACACAGCCCGAAAATTGAGAGCTTACTTTCAGTCACATCAGGTTGTTGTTTACATTCATCTGCCATGAGAAAGATATTGCAGAAGCTGGAACTCTCTGGTTGGCTTATCGGGTGGAGCGTCGAGTTGAGCAAGTATGACCTCAAATTTCAGCCGCGCACAACCATAAAGGGCCAGACTATGGCAGACTTCCTGGCGGAGTGCATCTTGACAACTGCGGAAGAAAAGGCGCCTGAGCACCCAGTTTGGGTCTTGTATGTTGATGGAGCTGCTAACGTTGAAGGATTGGGTTCTGGGGCTGTGTTAGTGGGCCCGGGTGGCTTTAAATCCGAACACGCACTAAGGTTTAAGTTTCAAACAACTAATAATGCTGTAGAATATGAAGCCCTCATTTACGGATTGAAGTTAGCGTCCGAGCTGAAGGTACAGAGCATTCAAGTTTTTAGTGACTCTCAGCTCGTTGTGGGCCAGGTGAAAGGCAGCTGTGAAATTAAGGATCCCCAGCTTGGTCGCTATGCCTCTGTGGTCAACAGGTTTAAGTCAAGATTTGCTTCCTTCCAGATCGACAAGATACCCAGAGCAGATAACCAACGAGCTGACGAGCTATCAAAATTAGCCTCCTCGTAAGAGATCAACCCTCATAAGTCAACAATTGTGGAGTTACTTGATGCCCCGAGCTACACCGATTTCACAGTCGAGTGTCAGCTGCTCAGCACATATCCCTTTTCACCGAGCTGGACCACCCCACTCATAAATTATTTGCAAAGTGGCTAGCTACTTGAAGATTCGTCCGCTGCAAAGTTAATTAAACGCAGAGCGGCACATTTCACTTTGTTAGATAACCAGCTCTACAAACGAGCAGCCTCAATGCCCCTATTACGCTGCCTTACTCCTTATGAAGCTGAATATGCTGTGAGGGAAGTTCATGAAGGAGTATGTGGCACGCACATCGATGGTAGGACTTTAGCTCAGAAACTCCTGAGGCACAGTTATTACTGGCCTACTATGGTTGAGGACGCACAAAACTATGTCAAAAAGTGCTCGACCTGCCAGTTCAATGCTGATGATATCCACATGCCATGAGAAATGCTCTCATCACTCTCATTTCCCTGGCCTTTCGCTCAATGGGGAGTTGACCTGCTCGGCCCTTTTGTGAAAGGCAAAGGAGGTTGCACTTACCTCGTTGTTGCAGTGGACTATTTCACCAAATGAATAGAAGCTAAACCATTGTCCACGACAACAGAAAAGAAAATAGAAGATTTCTTGTTCAATTCAATATTGTGCAGGTATTCTTTGGTGACTTAAGTCATTGATACATTATATGAAAATACAATTTGTGGCTCAGCTCGGTCATCTGTGTACAGGTTCAATATATCTACTCGGATCATTGCTGACAATGGGCCACAGTTCCAAGCAGCAGCACTGAGGTCATTCTGTAACGACTATGGCATTGAGCTCGCCTTGACCTCTGTCTATACCCCACAATCAAATGGACAAGCCGAGTTCGCCAATAAAATCGTCTTACGAGGCCTCAAGACGCGTGTTATTAGCCACACATTCTAATTGGGTAGATGAGCTAAATAAAGTGCTCTGGTCGTGTCGCACTACACCCAGCTCGGCTACAGGTGAAACTCCATTTAGCCTTGCCTATGGAGTTGAGGCCGTTATCCTTGTAGAGGTTGGATTGCCATCCGAAAGATTAGATCGCCATAACGATCTTAGTAACGAGCAACTTTTAAGAGAGAACCTAGACCTAGTAGAAGAGGTTAGGGAGATGTCCCGAATAAAGAACATGGCATATCAGGGTCGTGTTGCAAAATTTTACAATAAGAGAGTTCGAGCTCGTCAGTTCAAGGTTGGCGATCTAGTTTTACGCAAAGCTGGATTAACCAATACTATTTCGCATATAGGCAAGCTCGCTCCTAATTGGGAAGGTCCCTATATGGTCGTTCAGATCAAGCAACCTGGAGCTTACGTGTTAGCAGATACACAAGGATGCCAGTTACCATGCATTTGGAACATACACAACTTTAGAAAATTTTATAGTTAACATGTGTTCTGTTATTTTATTCAAGTTGTTATCCAGCAATTGTAAATGACAACATACAGAAAACATATAACTGTCAATACAAAAATTTCAAAACGAAATTCATGTTTGTATTTCATCAAGGATGTTTACATTTAAGATGCATATAGAATGGATCCATTGATCAAATACAAAAATGCAGAAGCAAAAATACAAAAGATCAAAACAAAAAAATCCTAAGCCTAATCATCCGTCAAATTGATGGGCATGGACGCATCAGGCGCATAAGGGGAGGAGCGAGCTGGAGGCGGGCTCGAAAGCTGGCGCAATGATGGGTGACCTTGCTGGCGCCGCGGCAGGCTGGGAATTGGGAAGGGTGCTTGATGGCTCTTGTTTGGCTATCGGAGCACCTTCAACCCAGGAGTCGAAGGAGGGTAGGCCCGCTGGATCCTCCCTTTCCTCTAGGACTGAAGGAGGCCAGACGAGTACCCCCTCCGTATTGAGATCCCATCTCAACCGAACCGTAGTATCAGCGAGGGGAGCAAGGCTCTTACCCTGCTCGTCAATGTCCTCCCCGTCAAAAAACGCCAGCTCGCCGATGGGGAAGTCCGGGTTATGGTGCAGCACCTTCCCACGAATTTCGTAATAGATCTCTGTGGTCATGTTCGAAGACGCCACCGCCACAGCATCTTGAAATACGGCTGAGCCCACCAACTATTCTGCCCCTTGAGCTTGGGCGATACTGACAGAGCGCCCGTGCGATGTCTTCAATTCATTCAGGGTCTCTTCAGCAGCGTTGAGGTTTTTGTCAGCCTCGGCGACCTGGTGCCTTAGGGAGCCCATCTCGTTCAGAGCACGGTCCCTTTTAGCCTCAGCCTTCTTGGCCCGTTCCTCAACGCAGGCGCCCTCATCCTTCACCGCCTAGATCCTGCTCTCCTTTTTAGCGCGGGCTTGCTCTAGCTCCTCCTTGAGCTCATTATTTCTATTGGCGAGCTCGTCTGCTCGGTCTCCGCTGCAGCCGCTCGATTGGCCATCTCCGAGCCTTGTAGACGATTGACATCATCCACAAGGCTGGCCTCTGAGCTCGTTATTTTGAGAGCAAGCCCTCTGTTCGTTCTCAAACAGTGCCACCGCGTAACTGAACGCCTGCCAAATAGCAACAAGTGTAAGTCTCTAGAATGGAATACTAAAACAGTTACACAAGTGCGAGTAAATACTTACGTCCATCAACTTGACCATGGCGACCTACCTGCCATGTTGCTACACAAAAGCCATTGCCCGTTGATGATTCACGAGAGGCACAAAGCTTTGCATGCCTTGCACCATAGCGGGTTGGCAATCTGGCTTCGCGTAGTTGAAGCCGTCTGGATACGCGATCCTAGGCGCCGACACTAAGGTCGACGTAGGGGCGGGCTCCGCTACTGCTCGCGCCGTGGTAGATGGCACGTTCGATGAGCACGCAACCATCGTTTGAGCCGCCTGCGCGGGCTGAGTCCCCCCACTTGTTCTGCGCCGGATGAGGGGGACCTCATCTTCACTTTCTATCTCCTCACGTGCACGCCTGCGTGCACTAGGGGCCGCAGTCTTAGCCCGCTGGTCGGCGCGTGGCCTGGACGCTGAGCTCGATCCACGGTGTGACGAGTTGCGTGATTGTGGCGCTGGGGGCGGTTGCTTGTCAAACCGTGTCTGTCTTTGTGGCGCGCTGCCTGACGCGCGGCTTTGGGAACCCTGGGCTCGCTGGCGCTGGCGTTCCAGTATGCTGCTCATTTCTCCTGCACAAACAAATACATAAGACTCAGCTCGGCTAGAATTCAAAATATATGATAAAAGTATACCTTCTGTGAACAGGTTTGCCACGTCGATAAACCCGAACACGACGAGCTGCTCCGAGGTAACTAGGGCATCTAGATCTGTCAAATCTTCCCTCTTCGCATATTCCAGCAACTGATTCTTGAGATCCATGTCCCGTGGTAGCAATTGAGGGTAATTGACGTGTGCATTCGGCACACGCCACTCAGATAGCCAACCAGCGAGGTCGTTGCTTATTCTCTCTGTTCGCGTATCGTGAACAAAGATGAATTGCCTCTTCCACCTTGCCACTTTGTTCCTTACATTCTTGAACAGTTGGCTCTTCTCTCCTTGAGAGGTAATACCACTTTGTGCCTCTGGAGTTGGGACACAGCCGGCACTGGAACAACGACCTGAACACTATCGCCTTCGCCAGCACCTCCAACCTCGCACACAACAGCATAAAGCCTATGATGAACCTTATGCTGTTGGGTGTCAGTTGTGTCAGAGCTAGCTCGTAGTTCGCCAGTAGGTGGAATATCAGCCCGGGCAAGGGAAATTGCAGGCCGGCCTCAAAATGGTCCATGTACACTGGTATCTAGCCCGTCTGTGACACCGTGCATGTCCTCTCATTCTTTGCGCCAGTCCGGAGCAGTATCGTCCTAGGGATGTGTTACGCCCTCACCATCTCCTCCAGCTTCCTATAGCCACTTATTGAGGGTGCACTGTCTGCTACTTCATGATGCAGTGCTGCCTTAAACCTAAATCCAACAGGCAGGTCCTTGGGCGCCTTTTGTAGATTGCTTAACCTGCCCGTGATTGTCTTGCTTTCCCACTCTCCAATCACAGGCCAATATGAGACATTGCTAACCACATCCCCCGTCCCTTCCTCGCGGCTGTGTGTCTCCTCCGAGGACAAGCTGCTGGATGATGAAGTATGGTGGTCGCCACCGTTGTCTCTAGTGCTGGAACTGGCACTACTCTCAGGCGTCATTGTTTTTGGCAAGTCCTGCAATGCCGGTGGCACTATCATCGTGATAGGCTTTACAGATATAACCCCCTTCTCTTCTCTCTCTATGCCCTGGTTACCTTGCAGTTCTCTACGTTCTCTAAAGGAATCCATTTTACTTGAAATTGATGTGTGACGGTAGTGTGTGTGGTTTGGTGCTTTGTTCTTCAAGCCAGAAGTGCTTCGCTACAGAGAATCTCAGCAAGTTTCAAACAATAGTGAAATGAAAATGGAAAGAGGAACTGTTATGCAAAGAGAGATATGGCAGTGTTAATTGCCGTACACGTGCCTTTGACGCGCCTGTTAGCGTCCCACACGTGGCAGGCGTTTAACCCTCTCCTATATAATGTGCGTCGGCTTTAGCTGTCACATCCCCTCAAATGCTGAGCTAGCATTTATGGCGGGGAAGGTAGAGAGATACGAGGAGATCAATCGTATTTCCTCAGAGATTTGATTGACTCAAAAAATCCCCAAGATTCAGATCGTAGCAGGTTGATATGTTCCCCGTCCCATTCATACCAGCTCGTCATTGTGACCACATTTACCAGGTTGTCACGAACGTGACAGCTTGTCCAAAATCACAGATCGTTTGCTAAAATCCCCCAAGATTCAGGTCATAACAAGTTGGTCTGTCCCTTCTCCCGTCCATCCCAGCTCGTCAGGATGACCACATTTATCAGATCGGTAGAAGAATGACAGCTTGTCCAAAATCACAGACTGTTAGAGGTTCGAGATCGCTCCACTCGGCTTCGGCCCCATGTCCGTTCAGTGATCCCAAATCGTTCTGTGGTTGAGGTCGTTTCATCCCAAATCGTCTTTATGTTTGAGGGACAACATTACTTGTTCACTTCAAAACCTTCGACAGTGTCCAAGATTCAGGTCGTCACACATCTGCTCGCTCTCAGGCCAACCTAAACGAGCTCGTTGAAATAGCAAGTAACACTTTAAATGTGAGTGCATGGTTATCCACCAAGCGGGCTTACCTTTTGTGAGTCACGTCAGCTCACCAATGTACTGAGCCCGCACTAGTGAGGTTACAGATATCAGCTTGCCTGTACTTTCTCAGGCTTACGAGCTCGCCGCATTCGTACAAATCTTGTCGGCTTGTCGGAGGTGTAGGTTGCAGAACTGCAACCTGATCGAACCTTCCCCTCAGGACGTGTAACCAGTGCCACCTTACAGATCGACCATTAACGAGGTCACTCATGTGCTGTAAGAGCTGTTAATCCTATACACCAGCTCGAACATTAGGCCACGGGCACATCCAACCCAGTTCGTCAACCGAACACCGGGGGGAGTAATGTTGGAATAGGCCCAACATCCAAACAGGGCTGTGCATAACGGGCCTAGGCTACCGCTCACTAGCCCAAGTTGAGAGAGCACCAGTGCAAGCATACCCACGTGACCAGCGCCACATGGACCAATAAGATGCTTACATGTACAGATACATGTCAGCACCAAGGGGCTATAAATACCCCCAACTACCTCCGATGAAGGTAATTAATCTCTACGCCTCTCTCTTTGCAATTACTCCTGGAGAGCATCTCTTTCTAAAATATTGAGTATTGCTAACTTGAGCGTCGGAGTGTTTTCCCCGAGAAAACATCATTGAGATTTTCAAGTATAGAAGCAGTTAAGGACTTCAACAGTGTTGGACCACGAATCTGCCCAAACACTTTCCCTTTCTAATTTTATAAAAACCTTACGAAACAAAACGTACCAATTAATTAATGACAATATTTTGAGAGTAAAAGCGCAATTAATGCTAAGCAAATGCGATGATGAGGGTTTAACCCATCTGTTGACGGTGAAACTTGGATTTTCATGGTTGCCGAAGCTGAGTCTGCTTCGCATTGACTCGGCCATGTTTTAATGCAGTGGCTTTAACTCGAACCCAGCCATGCCCATCTAGGCTCGCCATTTCCTGAACACCTCGCCTCTTTCAACGTGGTCCCTACCCACACACAACCAAGTTCGCGATTCTACAACTCACTACCTCCTCTACTTTGTGCTCTGTCCGATTATTCTCTCGCCATGATCAAGTCGATTGACTCGAGCAGCGCTGTGCAGTACGCTGTTGCTTCGCCCACCCATGCCATCAACGACGCAGTATTAGTGTTAATTTCTTACTCTACCAACGAGACTACTAGCCGGGCTAGGCCTTTCACTCATCGGAGAAGCTCGTCTCTGGCATTTTTAATTGACACACTCTCATATTTGCATTCAGTAGAACTTGAATGTGAAATTCACAGCGAGTGTCTCGTCCGGTTCACAACTGAGTGACTCGCGAGAGAAATCACTGAGTTTCCGACACACCACGACCTTAAACTTCAAGGAAACCCCAATTCTCTCATCGAGTAGACTCAACTCCTCACCAACTGATCTCAACTGCTCATCGCCACCATTATCAGCGACAGCGATGATTTTCACCATTACTGGCTTTCCGTTCTAGCGCTTGGAGAGTGCATAAAGAAAATTTTTGTACTGCAATCCTTTGCCGATTTCAAAATCGATTACATGGAATTTGTAAGAGTTCGAAGAGAGAAGGAAATTTGGGGTTTCTGATGCTTGCCCGATGCTAATCACCGATTTTTAACAGAGAGATCTGATATGGCGCAGATGGGTCCCACCAAAGTCGGACTAAAAAAAAAAAAAGGAGGATTGAACGTGTGGTGGGTTAACGTTAACTGTTAAGTAAAGTGTCCGTTACCCCAAAATTAGATGGAGCTTGGACGAAGGGACGACATTGATACCTTTTTCAATAGTAGGAGGAGGACATAAGTAGTTAATCAACAGTGGAGGGAGTACATGAGATGAATTGAAAGTAGAGGGTTTAAATTGAACTACTTTTGATAGTAGAGGGATGATAGTTGGCATTAACCCTAAAAATATAATAAGTACTCCCTTTGCTCTTTTTCAGTTGTTTTAATATCTCAATTTTCTGTAAATTAACTTAGGTTGTGTTTGTAACTTAAATTTGAATTTAATAAGTGTAATTAAAATATATGTATTTAAAATACATGTAATTTAAATATATGTATTTCAAAATGTATTGTTTGGATTGAATAAGAAAAATGAATTTTAAATATATATATATTTTTAAATAAATTGTTTGGATATATTAAAAATTTATGTATTTAAAATTAAATTTTTTTATTAAATTAAATTTTTTTAATTATTATTTAAATTTAATAAAACCAAAGTTAACAATTTTAATCTTTCAAAACATTATTTAAATTATATCAAGATAAACAAATTGGATAAAAAAGAACAATAACCTCTACTAATCAATTTATCTTTATATTCTCTATTTTTTGTTTATTTTTTTCTATTATCATACAATATTCAATTTTTATAAGCATAAATTTATTACAAAAGAATTTCACTATAAAAAATAAAATTTTAACATGATAATATTATATGTTAAATAATAAATAATTTATTATAATTAATAATTTTTAAAAAATAATTTATCTATACCTTCCTATTTAAAAAGTGATTGTGAGACTCCGCCTTTAGAAAAAATAAAAGTAAAAATAAAAAGTAATCAAAGGAACTAGCATAAGTTACATCTCCCGTTCCCATCCTTGCTCAGAAACACCGGACAGCTCCAGCATCGGCCGAAACCCCAGATCTACTTCCTAGGTCAGACCCAAATGCCTTTCATCCACCGCCCATATCATTCGAACTCCTTCCTCTCACTCATACTGGTCCGTCTCCACTCACACCTGCTTCTTTCCCGATCTCCCTCTTCCATCGACAACCAGGGCCAAGTCTCCCTCCACTCAGCCCCTAGGTCTCTTTTCCATCACCTCCAGATCTTTGTGTCGGCCGTTCCTCCCTCGTCCCCTTTGATAATCTGACTAATGGGGGCTTCACCACCGTCGAATTCATGATTCCAAACAAAGCATTAGTGATTTTATAAAGCAAATGAATGACAATTAAATTTTTTTTTTTGATTTAAGTGAAAATACCAATAAGAATTATATAGAGAAAAAAAAAAGAATTTTAATTATTGTTTATTTATTATATAAAATTATCTAGTCAAATTTTATCTAAAAATCAAATTATAACAACTAAATCCAATTGGAATAAGTAGATAAATTTCAATCAATCATAGTGAAAATATAAATGGTCAAGATTTTGACTAAAAATTATATATAAAACTTGTGTGTCTGTTAATTTTAATGCAATATCAATTATAATTTAAAATTAACTTTCAAGTCACGCTTTGCGTGATTCGTTCATATATTTCTTAAAAGTTTTTACTAATTATAAATTTTTATAATAATAATTAACTATATATATTTTAAAGTATTCATTTTAATAATTAGTAATAGCAAATTTATTAATTCATAAAAGAAAGTTTGAATGATAGATATGAAAGAAAATTTAAGTATAAAAATTTAATCAAGTTAATTTTAAAATAAAGATAAATTTTTGTAATTTGTTGCTATATTAATAATTTATAAAAATTTATCAATAATTTCTATATATTGTCTCTATATTAATAAATTATATGATTTTATTATTTCTTTCTCTTATCATCTCCTCCTTACCTCCTCTCATGTTTATTCATAGGCCAAAGCCCCTATTTGCCCGCTACATATTTTTTTATTTCTGTGATCAACACCTTAAACTAATTTTTGTTTTAGTCAATACCCTCCATAATTCATAACCAGTAAAAAACCCAAATTTGTAATGGGAGATCACGTGCCGATCATGCGCACATTAAAAACCATTAGTTGATACACTATGTGGCACTTGGTGTGACACACTTCCCTTAGGTATCCTTAGTCTTATGAGAATCCTAAAATAAAAACTTTAGAAAAATATTGCAGCAGAAGTAAAACACTTTTAAATTATGACATGTTTCCTTGTAAAAAGAACCTGCTTGTCTGTCATTTCAAAATTATAAGTAAAGAAAAATAAATAATAAAAAACTACTTTAGCAAAAAGTATTTTAAAGAAAAATATAAAATGCTTAAAGCTGTGAAATAACGTAGGTTAAGCCCATTTTCAATAATTTATAGATTACGTACATAAAAGCAATTTACACAAAAATCGATATGAGTAAATGCTTTTCAAAAGCTTTCTAAAAATAATAAAGTAGAACCATCGTTTTGATGACACATTGGTTTGCCTTCACATCAAAAGCAATGAGATCCTGGCTTCTATGTATAATGAGTATACAGGACCTATACCAAACACTTTCAAGCTAGGTGACTGCTACTCTATTCTATTAATCTGAAATGGGGGGAAAATATCATGAGTTAAAAGTCCAATAAGTATTAAGTTAAAACTATAAACATGGGTCATATGACCCTTAGACCTACACACACAAAGGGCATAATAGACAATTAAACCAAGTCACATAATATGTACAAATCTTATTATTTAAGTAACTACTTAATACGTTACATAATAATTCATAACCAATCAAATATAACAAAGAAAAGTCCATAACAATTAATGTAAATTCATATCATAAAGCCATATAGTCACAAATGGATTGTCATAAGCATAATGCATATAACAAAAATCACACAATGCTATGGAGTCTACTAATATGTGCTAACAACACTTGTACCGAAGTTAATCACTATACTCAGCTTATTGTGTAAAGGTCCACTAATTGCCTCGAAGGGTCCACTAAAAACCCCAAACTTTAAATTTAGGTCCACTTATTTTATAGTCACAAACGCATAGACATGTCAAATAAATTCAAAATGCATCCAAAATAATATAAGAATATAATTCCATTTATTAATCCATTAAAATAGTTTCATTTTAAAGCAACCCACTTTAAATATCTCATGCCTGGCTATGGATTTCACTCACAAGAGTTGAAATTGATTTCTTTCTCAAACATTTGTAATTAATACATAATCATATAATTAAGGAACACTAGTTCCCATCCAAAGTCACAACACTTCAAAATTTCAAATAAATATATGGAACTATTTTATCATATAAATTCCTAAGAAAATCATCACATAAAGCAGGCACATGGAATACACAGCAACAATAAAAATTATAGATAATAGATTTTCATACTAACACTAAGTATGAAATTAAAACACATTTCTAAATTCTATCGCAAGACCCATGCATACACCCAAAATCCAAATATTTTTAGACAAAATTTTAATACCCAAGAAGTCTTTTAAATGAAGGATTTAAGATCAAATTTCATTAATTTAAACTAATTCTTAGTATATTATAACAAACCTATAATCCACTTGAAACTCTAACCCAAATTCATAACTAAAACTCATACTTACCAATGGAAATCAAAGCATCAAGTTAAAGAGAATAGTAGGAATTAAAGAGGCTTGCTGAAATTCACACGAATCTCTTCACACCTAGCTAGAAAAGAAAGATGTAGAGGATCACCTGGAGAAAAAAAAAAGAAAGAAAAAAGGAAAAAAAGAAGGATACAGAGGAATGGCTCGAAAGACTTCCTATAAACCCCCCCCTTTTTTTTTTTTTTTTTTTAAATCCAAGCAAATTGTTTTGCTTGGTATATATAGTGCCACTTGGTATATATAGTGCCACTTGGCACAAAATTGGGATAATAAAGTTGAATATCCTTCAACTTCTTCTAAATTCCATGTACAACCCCCAAACTCTAAATCTAATTAATTTAATCCCTAAAACTTTAAAATAAAAAACTTTAATTTATAATTTATTCACTAAAGTATATAGGGTGTTACATCCTCCCCACCTTAAAAGGATTTTGTCCATCAAATCATTAAGCCTGCCAAAATAGATGTGGATATTGTTCCCTCATCTGACTTTCAAGCTCCTATGTAGCTTCATTCTCATTATGATGTTGCCACAATACCTTCACCAAAGGCACGGTCTTGTTCCTCAAAACTTTTTCTTTCTTATCCAAAATGTGCATTAGTTGTTAGATGTAACTCAAATCCTCCTTAAACTCCAATGGCTTATGATTAATGACATATGAAGGATCTGGCTCATACTTTCTCAAAACTAACACATGAAACACATTGTGCATATTTGACAATTCTAGAGGCAATGCAATTCTATAAGCTACTTCACCTATTCTTTCAAGAATCTCAAATGGGCCAATATATCTCAGGCGGAGTTTTCCTTTTAAACCAAACCTATACACTCCCTTGGTTGGTCACTCCTTTAGCAATACATGGTCTCCAACTTCAAATTCTAGAGGTCTCATTCTATTATCTGCATAGCTCTTTTGTATATCATGAGCCACTTTAATCCTCTGCTAAATCGATTTCACTTTTTCTGTTGTTTGCAATACAAAATTAGGCCCCATTAGTCGTCCATAACCAACTTCTACCCAACAAATTAGAATTCTACACCATTTTCCATAAAGAGCTTTATAAGGTGCCATTTTAATACTAGAGTGATAACGATTATTATAAGCAAACTTTGCCAATGGAAGATGATCATCCCAATTCTCAGGTAAATCTAATGCACAAGCTCTCAACATGTCTT